AAAGCTGTTTTCTGTTGCACACGGGCACCTATGAGGCATCCCGGGCATAACTTTGCTACATAGCAATGTATGAAAATGTATGAAACCATAGTGACCGCAAACCCGAGCTTCTTATGCTGCAGTCACGCTCGGGAAAACAGTGATTGGAAACTGCAGCATGACCGGAATTATTACGACTGTGTGGAATGAAACTGCAATCTCATTTCTTCTTAAATAGCTGCTTTGGAGAAGGGGATCAGATCAGCCACCATTCACAGTCAGTTTCCGGACATCTTCGAAGCCACTGTGGTGCATCGAGATGGTACTAAAACGGCAATATAATGGAATCAGTCTGTATCAATTTGTCATTGAATGGGGTCAATTTGCAATTATATTCAATCTGTTTGCAATAATATGGCAGTTAACTGTGATAAATCAGTGAAAATTCCACATCTCCTCCTGTCTGTTGAAAATCTGATGCCATATTCACATTAGATAGAAATTCATATTAACTATTTACATTGAATCCTCCTAGATTTGAAACAGAAATTCTTTCTGATGTAGTTGCTGCAAGATGGTTATTTAACTACAGACTGACACAGGCACTGTGTCAGACTATTTACAGGATAGGGCAGCACGGTGGTTAGCACTGTTGCCGCACAGCAAGAAAGTCCTGAGTTCAATTCCACCGTCAGGCCGGGGTCTTTCTGTGTGGAGTTTTCATGTTCTCCAGCTTCCTCCCACCATCCAAATACATGCAGTTTGTGGGGATAACTGATTAATCTAAACTGCCTGTTGGTGTGAATGTGAGTGCGAATGGTTGTCTGTCTCTGTGTTAGCCCTGCGACAGACTGGCGACCTGTCCAGGGTGTACCCCGCCTCTCGCCCTATGACAGCTGGGATAGGCACCAGCACCCCCCGCGACCCTGGAAAGGATAAGTGGAAGCGAATGGATGGATATTTAAAGGATGCAACCAGCTGAGTTGAGTCCCCTGCTGCAAATAGCCAAATGCAGATGAGTTGCGCTCGCTGGTGCAACCTGATGCAATTTGATCACAAGCGGAAACACGTTGGTCAGTTAATAAAGTTGTTCCTCTTTACTTTTAAGTGTTGCTGGAGCCTCTGCTTTGTACATTTATTAATTATACAGCAATTATTTACAAACCTTCACCAATCTGTCTGAGAGTGACTACAATCTTTTTGACAGACTACATTATAATTGTTTTGGGAGCAGCTTGCCTTCCACCAGATCACCTGTGCAATCATGTTGCCATCAAAAGTGGTCACCCCGAGGGTCAAGGGAATTCCCTGCTTAACTTCTGGGTAATTAGTTAGTTGTCCCTACTATTTGCTATCGATTGCCTTAATTCAACTTTTGAAAACCTTGCATTAAGGCACTCCTCTAGTCTGAATAACAGCCTTTGTCATCATATCAATATTAGTCTGCTACTGTTTGAATGGTTACAGAATGATATCTGACATTTCCGCCCGTCTCTGTGCTTCTGTACACTTTTTTATTCATTTCAGTTCCGGAGCTGCACAACTGCTGCACTTCATTAATCTGTGGACAAATCCCACTCAGTCATGATGCAAGAGGTGTTATTTAGTCCTTTTCCTTTTTTTTTTTCTGTGCAGTGAATCTCAACTCAAAAAACCCATCTGGGACGGATCGTGATACTGCAACAAAAACAGGAAAATGTTATGGCTCGTTTGCTTTCTCCTTCTTAATTTGCATCTTCGATGTGGTCTGTGATGTTAGTCCATATATCACCACGAAGCTGCATTCAGACATGGAAAAGCAAAGATTTATTTCACACACATGTTTTCAAAACTGTTGGTCAGAGCTTAATGACTGATGTGATGTGATGTGATATTACGACAGAAAAAAAAACAGGTGAAGGTAAAATACCTGCATCAATGATCGGATGTCCTGAGAACAGCTTTGATGTTTCAGGATGTATTGAGGAAACCAGAAACCCCAAGTCAGCAAATATTGAACTCTATTGTTTCACTCCGTCTCTCTGGCCGTCTTTATTCAGGCTTTTGGCAGCAAAACAATGTGATGGAAATTCAAGGTGGCAAAGGTGGGCTGGGATTTACAGACGCAGCACTTGAAGGTTAGCTTTTTGAAGGGGAATGGTTAACCATCTACATCAACTATTGTATAACGAACCCAGCAAGTTCAGTTGAGCAACTAGTATGAGACTGTGGCTATAGTGGGCAGCTTTCAGGTGGGAATGTGTGTGAGCAGAATAACAGAGGAAAAGATCTTGCATTGATAAACAGATGTTGCATCATTTCCATCTGTCAAAATGTGTCATCATCCACACTTTACATTGTTATTGCTGTAATTTAGCTGACACTGTTAATCAGAGTGACTTGCAGTGAATCGGACAGTAAAATGGGCTTTGATTACCATATCACTGAAGAATTCAGGAAGCCAAAAGCAAATAGTGCAAGAGTCAGTGCGTTAACGCATTTATAATAGTTATGTAACCTGGCAAACTACAAAAGTGGTGCTCAGATAGCAAACAGAATAGGAGCAGAAGGACAGTTTGTGCAAATGGTGACAGTTACAATTAAGCACTTGACACAGCGATGAATTCCAGCCTATAATTACAGCTGAGTTCAGCATTTAACTGTTTTACCTGACTTGTTGTCAGGGTTACAGCTAATGACTATTCTAATTAAGCTAGGTCATTCTCGTTGGGCAGCAGTGGTTACATCTCATTACGAAGTCAACGTTAGAAAAAAAATTACATTCAGTTTATTAATATTCATGTCCAAGTGGATGTGAAGGCTTATTAACTCTTACAAATACGCGTTCGTGTGGTCAGGTTCAGTTTTTCCCAGGCCTACAATTGCCTCATTATATGTGTTTATATCAATTTTAAAATTAGAGAATCGTTATGGAATTTACATAATAACCCATGTGACATTATTAAATGGAGGATTAATTATTAATTAAAGTGAAGAGGGAGAGTATTTTTTAGGCTTTTCAACCCCTGTTTCTGTAGAAAAACCTCTAGTATCACAAATTAGGTCCTGTTTTACCTAAAAATATTTTGTGTTAGCCGTGCAGCAGACTGGGGACCTGTAAAGGGAGTACCCTGCCTCTCGCACTAAGACAGCTGAGATAGGCTCCAGCCCCCCAGCAACCCTACCAAGGATAAGAGAAGAGAATGGATGGATATTTTGCGTGACTTTTAACAAAATTTCAGATTAATCTTTTACTGCTACCATATATCAAAATGATTCAAGTTTTGACCTGAACAGTATATAAGGAGGACTCGCCCAGGAGAGCTGATGGGCATGATGGCATCCCAGGGGTTGTGGTCGAAGTCTGGCAGGGATCCTCACCAGCTTCTTCAAACTCTCCTTGACTCATGCTACTGTTCTCATCTGTCTGAAGGCCTCCACCACCCTTCCCATCCACAAAAAGATTGATATAGACAGCCTCAACGACTGCGCACCTATAATCTTCATGTCTGTAGCTATGAAGTGTTTCGAGCAGCTGTTTCGCACATCAGAGACTGTATACCCCCTCCCTTGATCCTCACCAGTTTGCTTACAATCCACATCGGTCCACGGAGGATGTCACCACCATCACCCTTTACAGAGTGCTTAGCCATCTGGAGAACAAGAAGAGCTACATTAGGATGCTCTTCGTGGAGGATCCCAGACATCCTCACCACCAAACTGGACCACCTTCAGGTCTGTCCTGACACCTGCTCCTGGATCAAAGACTTCCCAACCAACTAGCCTCAATCAGTCCAACTCGGCCCAGAAACCTAACTTCACCTACAGGTTTTTGGGCACCCACATCTCTGGTGATCTCAAATGGACCCACAACGCCAACGACCAGAAGCTCCTGCTGGGCTTTTACCGCTCCTCAGGGCCATTAGTGACAACAGGAAGGCTGCACAGAGGGTAATTAACACCACAGATACTTTTTTTGGCTGATAGGTCAGAATCTTCTGTCTGAAAGGCCTCAGAGAAAGCCTTATGGCATCGAGAGAATTGCCGCAACTCACTCCCTGCTGTTAAAAAAAAGATTAACTGTACACTATCCAGTCTCAAACTAGCAAACTTCCCGTGCCACACTGTGTGCATCCGTTTCAACTAAACCATCTTCAAACTTTTGCAAACTTTTAAAAACACAAAAAAAGATTTTTGAGTGGACACGACAACAAACTCAGTTCCCTCGCTTCCCTGTATTCCTCGCTCTACCCCACAGCCTCCATCCACCAGCTGTCAGGCAAGCGTGAAGGCCTCGGTGGAGATGGACAGACATATGGATGGAAAGCAAGAGGGAGGAGGTGAGGGATGGCTGGATGGATGGAAGGAAGGAGGAGTGGGAGAGGTGTGACCCACTTAGCAGAGCCTAGAGTATTTATAGAAGAAAGTGTCCTAATTGGCAAGCCGCTGGGAGAGCAACAGCGCTGTGCTGCTACCCTACTCCTTGTCCTTCACCTCCTCAACCTTCCCTTCACTGAGCCATGTGCTTTCTCCTGATGCACCTTCCTCCTGTCCTCTTTCACCTCCCACAATCTTTCTTCTTGAGGACTTTAACTATTTCTTCTTCCTCCTCTTCCATAACAGTGAGATTCCCCTCATTCTTCCATTCACATGCCTGACCCCTCCTCCTCTACTGAGTCTCTGCTGTAAGTGTACACTGCCCTCCATAGTTTCTCCTTGTCTCTGACTTTCTGCCACCTCTTCCTTTTACCCTCTCCATGACAAAAAAGTGTGGTTTCTCATCCCAGCCCCTTTCCCCTCTTCCTTTGATCTTTTTCCATTTTTGGCTAAGTGTGCTGTCACTCAGCCCACATCCTCACTTTCCATCCTTCATTTAATATGTTTGTAGGCTTTTCAGATTGTTCACGATAAAGACACGAGCAGTGAAAGATAACTTTAAGATCAGATGTTACTGACTCAAAACCAACTAAAACCAGAAAGCATGACTAGATGACAACTTTGGGATTATTTTGGGATTATGAAGGAAAAAAAGACAGACTCACGTAAGAAGTACTCTGAGGCATCCGCCTCATAGTCAGCATCCTCAGGAAAGTGATCTATCTGCTTGCACATGCCTTTGAAAGAACCTGTGAGAAAGAAAGAACATATTACAAAAATCAGCACTGACAAAATCTAAAATTGCACGTGTAAACATGCGTTTATGTTTGTGTTCGTCTGAATGACCGAACGCGAGCAAACTCAATTTTCCCATTTTTTCCCTGCATGGTATCGCAGATTGTATCAAGTCTCCAGTATTCTGCTCGGTGTCTGTATCAACCCTTCTTTGGGACAAAAGAGATGAGACAGGGAGGAGAACTTTGTCAGGAGCTTTGAAGGAAACATATCACAGAACAAAAAGTGACAGACAAGGAGAAATAAGGAAGACGATTGGAGGAGCTCAGTCTAAACAACTCAAAAACGCAGGTGGGAGGGTGAGGGGGAGGCGAGGGGAGAGCAAAATGCAAATGATAGACAGGAAGAAAGGATAGTGCTGCTCATTAAGAGAGATTGTGTGTGTTTTTGTGTGTGTGTTTTTGGCTTAGTGCAGCTTCCGTGGTAATTGTTGTACCCTCCTAAACCACTGCAACTAAATGGCCCCTTGTTAATTGGCGATTGAAGGACGAAAGACTAGCGCCGGCTTTCAAATGGGCATCGGCTGCGCACACTCTCACACTCTCACAATATGTCTCACACTTCCAGGCGTGCACACACACACACACACACACACATTCACATACTGTAGCATCAGCCCTGTTACCACGAGCCTCACTCCAGCCGTATTTTTCACTCATCGCTGGGGGAGTGTTTGCTGCTAAACTTGCATTTTTATCATACCTGTGGAGAAAATAACCACTTTATAACAAAGCCTGATAAATAAAAGTGAAAAAAGAAAAACAAAATCATGACAGGACTCCAACAACAGCCTGTTTCGTATTTACATATCTTTAATACACCTCAGAAAACTCTCAGACGAACAAAGTGTTTTTCATCAAGTGCACTTTGATAGATGCATTAAAGAAGATATTTCACGAGGAAGCGGCGCCAAAAACCTTTTAGAGTCCTGCAAAAACACTTTCATCTTTTCATAATTTCAGCGTGAACTGCGTGTAGAGCGCCGTGTTGAGATTGCGTTCGCTTCCTGAAAGGACCGCGATGAGTGACAGCGCACTGTGTTTCAGCAGGAATAGCTTCACATCTGAATGCCCCTTTGTCTCACTTGCTTACAGTAATTGTTTGTTGGACAAATGCGAGTCGGTACTACAAAGTTAAAAATACTGCAATCATGCTGAGTGCGCTTCACAGACACACTCACTCTTCTACAGTAAGCGCCGATGACTAGACTTTAAAATGATGTCATTTTCCCTCCAGTGGACGTGAAGGAGATATTTAGCACTTCAGCGCAGCCTCTTAGAAACTGTTTTTTTGTTTAATGAACAGAGCTTTAAAGGACGGTGGTGACAGCTGCATTGTTCAAGTTACATTGGTAGAGGATAATCTAAGAGCATGAAGAGTGTGACAAATGAAGACGTCATCGTACTGTGAGACTGTCCTCCCTCAGAAAACAACACCACATGTTTGCACGAGGTTTTTTTATATGACCCATAAAAACCTCAGTGTGAATAAGAGCATGTTTAATGTGCACTGAGCTCTCCAAAAAAATGAGGATGCCAAACTCATTTTACATTGGGAGCCACATACAGTCCACTTTGATCCACAGTTGGCCAGACCGGTGAAACTTTCTGTTAGTGTAAAGGTGTTTAACTGCACGTTTGATCCCTAAGATGTCTTAGGATAAGAAGAAGAGATGCAATTTCAACCTAATGTCTCAGTTTTATAAGATGATAAAGAAATGCTGCTGTAGTAAGCGAAATAAAAAATTCCAGCTTGGC